TCTTTGTTACCTTAATGGCAAGATGTAAATAATTTATTACGAATTAATGGAGTATTCTAGCGATCAAAGTAATTCACTCACGTTTCCCAATTATTATTGGAAGGAGACGGAGGGGGATCCTCCTTGGAAAAATACGTTTGGGAGCAGTCCCTTTTTAGCATAACGAAACTCGAGGAGCAATTCTCTTACGGCGATTCGAAATAGTGGGCATTTTCTGTCGAACTGGAGCAGTTATACCCATGTAACGTTAAAACCATTACTTTCCCTTTACAATTTGGCAGGATAGACGTTGTAACAGATGCAAAAGTATTTTAATTAATCGTTTTTATTAAGCTAAAAAATTAAACTCGAATAATCAAGTTTTTATTCGCATTTACTAAAACATTCATTTATACAAACATGGTCGTGACATTACATATTTGTTGTGTAAACTAAAGGGGAGTGTATTTGGGAATCATCGGAGTACCTTAGATTTTATTTGATTCATAAGGAATCAATATTACACAATTAACGATTAAAGATGGCCGTCTGAGTTAATAAAAAGCCATTTTGTAAGCGTTCTTTAATTAACAAAAAATAGAGGGGATTATTTTTGGGGAAAAACTTTGACGATTCCCAGTTAATCACGCAGTGAGACCAGTGCGTGGTCTTTAGAGAAAATTGAAATCAGTAATTTGGCGTATAGTCAGCAGTTCGATCGCCATTGATATTAATTTCCCAAGCCCGAAACTCGCAAAAGGAATTACCCCACTATTATTTATTAATTAATAACCACGTCTTACTTATACTTTCCAGCCTTTAAACTATGACAATGCTTAAAATACCCAAATTCCTAAACAATTTAAAGACAAATTTGGGTCACATGGTATTAGGCGCTTTAAAAAGTGCCTGAAGAATAGTTACCATTTCCGAAATTGGAGGCAAGAACTTGTGCAATACGCACATGCGATGGTACATCGACATAAATCTGGCAGCAAATAACGAACGGGTCAGCTTCCCAAGATATATCATGTATATAAGACGAGGTATTAAGACGAAATTGAAACTGTTCCCCGTTTTCCATTAATATGGAATTGGAAATCTGGGCATAAATCACGACGACGGAATTGAAATAGATTAATAATTGCGCCAAGCAGTATTAAATTGTCCTAAGTTAAGTCGGAAATTTATGGGGGTGGATTTTTACGCCCCGAGACGTTTTAAATCAACCGAAAGGAATACAATTCCATTGCTAGTCAATCAAGCGGAGGGTGCTGCACAAAATGAAATTACGTAGGTGCACACAGTTCGTTTCGTTACTTTCAAATAATAGCCGGCGGCGGTGGCGAGCGCACCATACTTTCCCCTTCGCACGCTTTCAGCTTTATGTGTAAACAAATAGGAGGAACTCTTGAAATTGTAGTTAGTTCGAAGCTTTTAGGACGATAAAACTTTTCTACAAGATTTTGCTTTCCTAAAGTTTGAATTGTTGTGATAAAGTTTTTTTTTTAGCTACACAATTCATTTTATATTATCATAGAGATGCTATCGCCGTAATGAAATACGTTGAAAAATATGAAATACGTAGCTTATTTGAATTGTAAATTTTAGTTTAAATAAACTAACCTAACATGGTAAATAGACGAAAATTATATTATTCAAGCTCGCAAGTTTCGCTACGTGAGAAGAATTATTCACGTCTCTATACATTTTTTTCGCAATGACTCTTTTTCAACCCTTAAAGTTTGGTTCCAAAACTATTCGAGTTCACGTTTCGTTAAACGTATTTTGGGTGGAGTTTGCTGTACCATATCGTTACTCAACGGATCACGTTTTGTCGAAGTCAGTCCTAAATTATGTACTCCGTTAGGAAAGGGAACTTTTTATTTAAAATAAACATTCTCTCTCTCTCGTGTCCCTCATGGGGTACACACGAATGATTATTTAGTGGTTTATAGCTTATTGAGACACTTAAAGATTTTTAAAACTCCGTCAAGGCTTCGCTAGACTAATCTATGCCCTATAGCGTTCTTCACTACCCTAGAAGGGAAAGCCCCCAAAGAGAGTCCAGCAGACCAGCCACCACACCATTCAAACGCCAAGCTGCGCAATGGTCGAGCCCCTACGAGGCCTTTTCCTTAAACTACGACGACCTCAAAAAATCATACAGAGGAAGTACGACAACAATCGAATATGTGGGATGATGAACGCCGAGTTCTTCTCCAGAGAACAAAAGGGTGAGGCCGCTTACTTCTTTTTCCAGGGGAAGTGAAGCGTCTGAACATCTCAATTGTTGTGAAGGAATTGTTACCTCCTCCGACCTTTTTTGGGGAACGTGCACGCTATAAGCCCCATTCAACTGGTTCGTCTCGCAGTAGGATTTAAGATGGCCACAAATCATCCGTGCAGGACACTTTAACACCACCCGCTGCGTCCGAACGTCCAGCGAATAAGCCCAAATGCCATCACTGCCCGGAGTATGATTTTCACCGGATCCTAGCTAGCCGTCAGTTTATAGGTACCGCAGAATCACCAATTTAATGAATCCAATCGCCAGAGATTAATAAATATGGATGATGGCAATTGAAATTCCATGCGTTCTAACTTACGCTGTCGGCTGATTTATTAAACGAGGTGAACTGGATGCGGTTCTCGACAGAAAGAGGAAAATGAAAGTGGACAATCTACAAACACTGCGCGGTAAAATTGCGTTGTCAAATTCCAACAATAGATGAAGCCATCTATTCAAAAGTTACGAGGATCTTTCAACAAGTAAATATACCGTAAACAATAATAATGCTTTGTAATGGAAAAAATAAATCGTTACACTGAACATTATCAATAGATTTAACACAACATCATTAATTGTTGCCTCGACACTTTTTAATAATTATCTTAAAATTAAAAGGATTGTTAGATGAGGGTTTGGTGCTAACCCGTCAATTCGTTTCTTTCACTAACAGAGATTAATAATTATTCATGGTTACAATGCTCCACTAAACTTGGTGTAGTCAATTTTTGGTAAAAAGGGAAGGTTGTACACTGCCATTTTTTGGCTCGAAAAAAAAATTGTCTCAGATCGACCCGAAAAAAAATTTTCTTATAGACTGTGGCCTGTAGAATCCATAATTTCAAACAGTTCCAAGATTGGGCTACTAGTTCAAAAGTTACAGCCCTTTGAATTTTCTTTCGAAATTGGTTTCTAGTCCATAACCTTTGATTGAGAAGTCTGATCGAAAAAGTACGAATTGTTTTGGATTCTACGCACCAAAATTAATAAGAAAAAGTGTTTTCCCGAGAAATTTTGGTGTGTTCGATTTTTGGTAAAAAAGGAAGGCACTGCCTTTTTTTTGGCTCGAAAAAAAAATTGTCTCAGATCGACCCGAAAAAAAATTTTTCTTATAGACTGTGGCCTGTAGAATCCATAATTTCAAACAGTTCCAAGATTGGGCTACTAGTTCAAAAGTTACAGCCCTTTGAATTTTCTTTCCAAATTGGTTTCTAGTCCATAACCTTTGATTGAGAAGTCCGATCGAAAAACTACGAATTGTTTTGGACTCTACGCACCAAAATTAATAAGAAAAAGTGTACCGTAAACAATAATAGTGATTTGTAATGGAGAAAATAAATCGTTACAGTGAACATTATCAATAGATTTAACACAACATCATTAATTGTTGCTTCGACACTTTTTAATAATTATCTTAAAATTAAAAGGATTGTTAGATGAGTGTTTGGTGTTAACCCGTCAATCTTTTCGTTTCTTTCACTAACAGAGATTAATTATTCATGGTTACAAAGCTCCACTAAACTTGCTCGTAATTATATTACAGCTCCTCGTCGAATTAGCAATTCGTTAGTAGGTATTGTCAGAATAGGTACTTGTAAATTGAAGGGCGCGCGTCGCACCCGAATGGAAAACATCGAACGAGAACCGCGGCTTGTTTAGAACTTGAGTAAAGCTCTTCTACGTGTTTTTGTTAAATATCGTCGAATTTCCTGAGAGTAAAACGTTTAGGTAAACAAAATATGCGCGAGCCACCGCATTTGTATTGCAGGCAAGTACCTACCGGAATGCAAATAGAGGAAAAAGTTACGATCGGCGGAATAAGTTATGTTGCCGTAAAAATAACGGCGGTCTCCTTTATCCACGTATGCAGATATAAACATTTTTTTATGCATCCCCAAATTGCGTTGCCTTAATTTCTGTTTACCTTTCTAATGAAAAACCGTTTCTTGGGCATTCGAGACGTGAGAAGGACGCATCCCTCGCGGTTTTACATAATAAATACGGAGCGGTGTGTTGTCCCCACAAGCTTTTAAATTTATTGAGCGCAGTGCATTAAACATTGGATATTTGTACAATAGACACCCTCGTCTAGCTCGAGTGTTTTATAGCCTGTCAAACAGGGGGAGACGGTGACGTGACAGACGCTGCTTTTCTATACGACAATTATTCAAATGCACCAGCTTGGGAAACCGAGAGATGGGAATTACATCTGGAAAACTCCAGACGACAATGATAAGTGAATTTTCATGCCATAAATTTGTCTACACTCTACCTGGGACTCGCCGTTCCCGATTTGCACTACCGTACCCTGATAAGTGAGGGTATAAACCGATCTGATTACCCCTTAAGCTTACGACAATATTATACCCAAGGGAAGAACGTAACAAAATCCTAGAGACAGCGCAATTCTGTTATTATCTAAGCCACTAAATTACCGAAAGTTTGCTTTGAAAGGGTTTTAGGGAACGAAATGCAATAATATTTATTCCAAATGACCACGGCGGCGCTTTGAGTTTAGTTTTACGTAAAGGTATATAAACCCGCCGTTGGAATTTGTACGGTTAGTTAGCAAAGCACAGGAATGCGAAGGATTCAGGTTGAACTTGTCAAAACTGAAGCACGGTTAGATAATCTCCCATCTGAGGAGACCTTAAATTCGCCCAAAAACTTCCACCTTGCTTTCTCTATCGTTCGGGCACAAATGAATTTGAATCGTCTGTTTCAGGTGAGCCTCGCCTGTTTTCTTCTACTCCCGAAAAGATCGGTAAGTTTGTTCCCATTCGATATATAGGATGTTCTAAATAAATAATAAATAAGATATTCGGTGATCGATAAGTAATTTTGGACGTTTTCCTAAGTTTCTTTCAGTCTCGTCCTTTTAGGAAAAGTGAAATGTCAATCAATTTTATTAGAAAAGCGAAATATAACTTTGATATAAACGGATTTTCATTGCTGTGAGAGTAAACTCAGTCTCTTTAATGCTCGTGCAGCATGCCATCAAGGTGGTAAAAAGGTCTACTAAAGGTTTTCAGTTACCAACTTAAAAAGAATTGAAGTTCAAATTGAAGTACTATTAATTATATTAAATAAGCCATAAAAATTACGAATGCAATTAATAAAAATCAGATTACGCACAGCGAACTAATGATACACACACGGAGAAAAATGATTTGTCATAAGAACAAAAAAATAAGTATATGCAGCTAATTTTCTTTGCACCTATATGGACTGCTAAAAGTTTTGCAGCAAGAGCAAAGAAAAAATGCTACCTATTTTTAGTTCATGTAACTAAATACGTTTTGCTTCTCGTACTAGAATCTGAAAGTACCTGTTACTAAACTTTTTTGCTTTCATAACAAATAACTTTAGCTGCGGCTGCCAGTAAATTTAGTATCCAATAATCGACGAAATTTGCAATAGAACCAGTCGCATTTGTACCCACTACTAACTTATTGAAGTACCAGTCACTGAATCTCTTTGCTCTCTTAGCAAATTATTTTAGCTGCAGCTGCTAAGAGCGTTATTATCCTATAATAGACGAAACTTGCACTAGCAGCTAAATTGTGTGCGGTCTGGCAACAAATTGTCTTTGTAGCCACAGAGATCTGGTAATCCCAAAAACTCAAGTGAGTCAAAAGAACTTTCTACACTGTATAGGTACTATATTTTTTTATGGTTGGGTTTCTACAAAACCATCTAGAACAACATAATATTACGTTATTCATGTGATACCACAACCATAGGAACAATATCTATTATTAACTTTTCGCATCACCCAATACAACTTCCATCTCACATTGCAGTGATAACTAAGTTTGGCGAGTAAGAAGTTGAATTAAATGAAACCAGAACAGGATGTTGTAGCCAAGTGGTGTATGTATAATATTAGTATCTATAACTAAATAATAAGATAATGAAATGGAGAATAATAGACAATATGAGAACATTGTGGTTTATTAAAGAGTTCAGATCACACTGAATGATTTAAAGTAACAAAACTACTATTAGAACTTTTATATAAATGGCAGGGAAAAGGATTAGTTAGTTCATCGAATTCAATAAAAAAATTCGAATCAAAATTTACAATTACTTCATATGCGTGATAGTGGCGATTTAAACATATTACTTCTGTTGCATAGCACACAAAGCCCATTTTATTATTTTTTCCGATCATTATGAAGTTGATAATTCCAAAGCTTGGTATAAGGTCACTTAAATCCGTTACCAGACAGATACCATTTCTATAAGTTATGCCATTGATGGATATCCACTTATAAATTGGGCAATCTTTAAAGTTGGCAGGGTAGTTGATATCTGTTAACATTGTATCACCCATACAAATATTAGGACCAAGGCTATAATTTCGTTTCAAAACATGATTATTCAAGAATCGATTGGCAAGTATTAGCTGGTGCTTAAGTGCTAGGGTATAAAGAATATTCCTTCTGGAACAAGTGACTCCAGCAGTAACTTTAGATTGTCGATGTTTGGACTCGTACCTCATAGACCATATATGACGCAAGGGCCCGACCATTTTCATAATGGACGCATAATGCAAAATAAAATGAAATTTTGGTTTCAATTTCTCATTAAATAAAGTTATAAAGAGTTCATTATGCTCCGATACTAAAGTTTCAAACATATTTGCTATTTCTGTAGTAACAGCGTTGGATAAAACTACATCAAGAATTTCTCTCAAACACAAGTACAGTTCCCACACAGGATCATCTACTGGAACAAGATCGCCCATCATCACGCCAAAGTATTTTATGAAACACATCATTTCTGATGCAGACATAGAAATCTTTGATTTCTTTTCAAAATTTCGTGAGATTGCGGGAGGTTTATTTTTCAAGTCAAAGTTGTAACGAAACGTATTAATACGCCAATTTAATGTATCTAATGAAAACAGTTTTTTTACGTTTATGTAATAATTTAACATATTCAGCATATCATAATGGCAAACGCCTTCCAAAATGTCATGCATAATGTCAACGCTCAAATTGTCACAAACATGAAAACTGGGAATTTCATTGAATACGCACGCTTCCTTTATACCTGTTTGACTAGCATCGTTTAAGAGTATATGCTCATTATAGTTTGTTTTATTTCGAAGCGTCACATTTTTTATATTGCAAAGAGATTCCATATCTTTCTTTGAAGATGTGCAAAATCTACAATAATGGTTACTAGAGAAACTTTCATTAAAACCCATTATTGAGTGAAGCCCCAAATTATCCCCAATAACTAAACCTAAAACAAAGTATATGCGTAACGTTTTCCCGTTTATGATAATAGTAATGCCGTTTTCTTCCAAAAATGTAAGTTCCGAAATGATGGGATCGAGAATTTTCCTATTACCAACTTGCTTACGATCTTCCGAGTGAAAAAGAGAAACCAAAATTATATTGTCTAGGGTACTACGAAATTGTGGTGGCAAAAATGGGAAACTTGCATATATGGCACCTATTTTATATACGCCAGCATGCGACCCTAACGGATTGCAGGCCTCATAGTCATCAAAGTAGATGAACAGAGGAAGGACAGTATCCTCGACATTGTATTTCGTTAATTTAGATTTCCACAAGTCACTTTGGATGAAACTGGTTACAGTAGTACAATGTTTCAAGGAATTCACATAATCGCAAACTTGCTCGTGAAATCTAGGCAACTCGAACAATTGTTTCAATACAAGTCTCACAGGGACAAATTGGATTGATAGTGGTACTTGACCAAGTGAAGTGTGCAGTTTTGAATTATTTGCACTAATTCGATATCCAACATCATAAGACACAGGTCGAATCAAATCATTTGTGCTTGCTAAATCCTTGAACCTCAAATATTCAGAAGATAAAAATTGAAAAGGATTTTTAAGTGCATCAAACATTGAATCAGTGGTGGTCACGAAATTTTCGTCTATATCTAAAGAACTCATTTTACTGTTTACTCTACGTTGAATTACATCGACAAACCCACCACTCATAAAATTTAAAAATTCATCAATTACAATCTGAACCATACTTCGAGGCAAGGACTCAAACGAATATAATTTTGCTACAAATGTCCTAGCCTGTGCCTTGATAAGATCTTTGAAAGTAGTTATATCCGAGTCACTAATAATCATACCCTCCTCAATCTCGTCATCAAAATTATCATCAGAGTTACCATCCAATGATAAGTTTTGACTGTCCGTTAGGGCCCTTTGGTCACATATGAAGGCATCATCAGAAGTACTATTATTTACACCGCCCTCAAGTACATGTTTAGCTTTAAGGTGTTTTCTAAATGAATTGTACTGGCAAAAGGTTCTTTGACAATCGCCCTGCTTGCATCTGTAGATACTTTCTGTACTAAGCTTATGCACAAATTTGAAATGACATGATAAAGCGGTTAGAGAACGAACTCCTAAATTACACAAATAGCAAATGAACATTTTCAAAAAGATTATCAAATGTACTTATACTAACTAACAACCCAGCATACCTTAGGTAGGTATCTAATACTCTTATATATATCTAATCTAACTCTAACGTAAGAACTATGTTGGTTTTAACTTTAACTTAGCCCTTAAATTCCTTAAATCATTTATCAATGTGCTTAAACCAACAGATTTCTTATCGCTTGGGCATTCGATTTCATAAAACATATACTGAATAAAGAGCCACACCTGATTGCACTCTATTGGGTACCTTGCATTGAGAGCGAAAAACACTTTGAAGCAAATGTCCACTGCTTTCAAAAAACTGCAAACTTTATACAGCTGGGTCTCAACTCTTACGTATATGTCGAGAGGGTCTTCGATTTCTGTTCCTACAATGACAATGAAAGGTTGAAGAGTTTCTTTCCACTTAGACAATCTGTCCTGGCGAGCTTCTACCACATGTTGCAATTTACCGATGTCCTAAAATGAGTAGGTTTAACAAAAACAATGAAATTTACAGTCATATTGCACACACCGTTACATGTAATACAAATGATTCTTTAACTTCCAATCTAGAAGGACGCCACTGGCCCTGCTTGGTTCTTATTGTAGTAGTTGGTATGACGTAAGGGAGAATGCAGAACAAGGTCCGTGACCTTTTATCTAAAAAAAAACTCAATTAGTATGCTTTAAATAGAGGAACCTATAGAAGTTATCAATTTTATACCTGAGTTTTCTTGGTTTTTCAACTCATCCAGGTAACTTCTTATCTTCTTGTCTTTTGTATCTTTCAAATGTTCTACAAGTGCACGTGTTACAGATTCTAATTCGGAGTACAACTTCAGTTCCGTTCCTGGATGCAGTCTACTAAAGTCATTTTCAAGCTAAATGGGAGATATAATTGTGAACAAATGTTGATAATAACTTTTACTAGATTAAATTAATTACCAATTCAAATCCATCGACATTAAGTAAAGCTGGAAATTTTTTCAGGTATGTACAGATATCAATTTCTGTCAATAAATTCCTTCTTGTATGAAAGGTCTCAGTCCAATGGTTAATGACAGACGTCCATGGAGATACGTTGTTCTCCAGCCACTTGATAATTTCACTATTCTCTTCACCAATCTCTACAAATTTACATATCTTCATTATACTCATTATTTTTAAAAGTAGTGTTTGTGGAAGTAACATTCTCACCTTTATTTGAATCAGGAACTGTAGCTGTACTTTTAGCCTTTTTATTAATCAACCCAATACTAGTAAATCGTCTTCTCAAATTATAATATTTGGTAAATAATTTACCTCTCCCTGATTTCTTGCCCTGTTCGTTTACTATGGCAAAATAACAATCCTGGAAACATTTAATTAAAAACATGCAATTCTCTACAACTATAAACGGACATACTTTATTTTCTGTTGGGAACATACGCTGGACAACGACCGCCAAACTGTCAAGCCGAGCTGTCGGTATACTGCAAAATATGCATTAAGTATAAACAGATTTATATCTTCGTTATACACACCTCTTAGTAAGATCAGCCTTCAGCTCGTGTTCGATTATCACATCTACTAATTTCTGTCGAGTTTCTCTATTTAAGACCCCATTTTTTTTATAAAACGCCAATACGTATTTGCCTTTAGGTGAATTTTCCAAAACCTCTTGGAGGTCTGTAATAGAATCCACAAGGCAAACTTTCTTAGCAGATGGCTCGAATTGCTCGAAAGAACCTACACAGTTATCAAATAAGTACTTATTTGGATAGCACGTTGTTATTACATGAAGGTTTCGGGTTCGATGTAGTACCGGCACTAACCACTACTTCTTCTACAATTTGGTCTTCAATTTGCCCAAGATCAAAGGAGGAGTCTACACTAACATCACTTAGGGAATTAAATGAGCTGGTTGGTGATGGCGAAGAACTATACGATGAACCGGATGCACAAACCTACAGAAAATGTGCGGTATAAAAGCCCCAAACTACGTCATTTATGTAAGTAGCAGGTAATCGCGTCATTTATGTAGTAATCGTGCATAGAAAATGAAGAATAAGTACTTACATCAGCATTTTCAATTCCTTTAAGCACAATCAGGGGTTTTCGAAAAGCTTCGAGTTTGTTCCATAGCTTTAGTCTAAGACCTATTTGGGGAATTAGCTCCCTAATGGATTCCTGGTCGAGTATTTGTAGTGAGTCAAGATCTATCTGATGCTCTATAAAAAAATAAGCATGAACATTTTGCGTCTATTTTGTCGCCATGTTGAGACAATCGTTAAGATTTCGACGCTTAACCGGCGTTATTTATACTTATACATTTACAAAAAGCGGAGACAAATTTTGTCGACTTACCTTTGAAGACGCCACTCAAGATTTCAAGACCCCAACATTTCAGTAAACCGTCAATGTCGGTTGGGTCACCAGAAACACTCACACACTGCAATTCTGATTCCATTTCAGCTAGGTAATTTACTTAAGGTAGGTAAAGGTAACACACGCGTAAATTAAATAATTAAAATGAAATGAAACCGATCCTTACTTCTTCGCTTTTACTTGAGCAGTGGGCTACGGAAATTGGTTTTATTTTTCTGCTGACCGTTGTCAGTTGTGACTCACACCTACGTATGTAACTATAGCTAAACATACTTTGTCGGCTCAGCAAACCATTTGCATGTGGGTGCAAAACAGATTGCTACGCGAGGAACAGCTGAGACAGCGAAATTTTCATTTGTAATTACTACTAAGATAACTTGTTGTCTAAGCTAATCTTTGTGTACTAAAATTTTTGTCACTTCCAACAAATTTGTTTTCGCTTCTGAGACAAACATAAAAGACATTCTACTAAAAGATTTTGTCATCAGAGCAAAAATAATTATAGCAAAATAGAAACTGCTAAGAGAACCAACTTATTTTTCTCCGTGTAGGGCAAAGCCGAAATTAAAGGGAAACAAAAGGTAGGTATATATGATGTCAAATATCGGTTGCTATTAATTTACGATATTCATGTCGCATGTTAGGCAATAGTTACGTTGTAATTGAAAATTATAGGACATTTTCGTGCACAGATAAGTAGTTCCATTCTAGTTTATTCGAAAATTTCTCACGGCAGCTAGTAAAAGCGCAATGTACTGATATAGTTGGTAATAGAGGTATTTTACATACGAGGACAAGAGATTTAGTACAAATGCCTTCATACTCCACCTAGGTTTCTGAAAATCCCCTTCACGTGAAAACCTCCCCATAATTTTCCAGTAAGCTAATCGAAATGGTAGTTTCTTCCAGATAGAGAGCGCAGGCATAAATTCGACCCTTCCCCCAATGGGGACCAATATAGCAACATAATTTAATCATAATTCTTTTTGAAATTCTCATGCAAAGATTTGGTCAATTTTCAAATAAAAGATCTGCTTTTTTTTTAAAATGAGGTGTCGGATCTCCCTCGATAACTTTTGCTGTAGGTGGGTTGATCATTAATTAAGTTCGCTTATGTTTTCTATAAGTCAAAATTATTGAGACGGTGTCATTTCTCGGTCGATTTTTGTTTTTTTTTCAATCCCGCGATAACTTTTCGTTCAATTTCCATTTGATTTTATCTTTTACAGGTTAAAACCTATTAAAAAGCGAACTTTTGATCCCTTTTCTTAGGAATCGATCTTTTGTAATAAGTTTTCTTGTTGCTGTTTTTAAATTCATTTCGTTTTTTTTACTACAGGTTAAAATCCACTAGAAACGGAAAGACTATAATCTACTCTTTGTTCTTTTCAAAATTGGTTCGGTTAATTTACGGCTGAATCCTGACCAAAATTACTGATTCGTGCTGTTTGTTGATATTTGGATTGATTTCCCTTTCCTTATAAAAGCAAAACCTGTAAACTTATTCGGTTTTCCTCAAAAAGTACTCTACAAATGTTTAATTTTTTTAAACTCCAATGGTAAACCCACAACCTTCAAATGTAAATTTAGATCTACCCATCATCAAACCTCTTGGTTTCTGGATTCTAGATCACGGTAGGAGGGTCCACGCGCACCTAAGCCTCAAGTTGGGGCCCTTTGTACCATCTTCATGACAAGAAGCCCCCGCTTATAAATACCGGGTGTTCGGCAGAGCTGGTCAACTCCACAAATATACGGTGTGGTCATAACTTCCGGTGTGAAACTTCAAGGCGGAAAAGGGGTGCTTCGTTACAGTAACCAATTGTTGTATGAGAATGAGCCCAAGTTACGACCTCGGTTTCATGCAAGTCTGTACCACCTGCAGAGTCTACAGATCTTTCACAGCATAAAGCGATAGATTCCATAAAGTGTACACAACCCACAAAATTGAGAAAAGAAACTGAAATATGTGCCAAACCTACAGAACTTGACGCCCTACAGAATCCAGAATTTCGTAGGACTTCCAGAATCTACGATGTATACAGTTTACCTCCTACAAAACCTGCAGTATGTATAAAATCTTCAGAATCTAAATAATCTACCAGAACTTAGAGGCCCTGCAGAACCCGTAGAGCCTGTACAATCTACAAAATATGTATAATCTAGAAAATGTGTAGAACTTGCAGAATTTACAGATTCCAAAGAAATCAAAGCAGTTACAGATTGTACAAAATCTACCGAATCAAGTGAATCTTATATAAGATCTACAGAAGCTCCAGAATCCAATAGATTTACAGAACCTTCAGAGCAGCCAAACTTACAGAACCAGATCTGTGGGGTATGCAGAATGTATAATACCTACAGGATCTAAATATCTTACAGAACGCACAAAATATGTAGAATGTACAAGATTTGTAGAACCAGCATGTTCTACAGAACCTATACAGATACACCCGAAAATCTTGAAAGTATCCAAAACGCACGATTTTAATATTAATTTTGATGCTCTTAGAGTCCCCCTTCTTTGTATATCCGAATATACAATTCCTCTTGCGATCACAGGGGAGATTTTTGGAAGTAAACTGGTAAATTTTGTATTTGATTTTCAAGAGCTCACCTATAAACAGAAAATTCAAATTATTCCTTACCTCACACCAAACCTTTATTAAAGTGCGCAATTAAGAGGTTTGAAAATGTCTACGTTTCATCAGTATCACGCTAAGGTTTAATTATTGGTTAATTTAAATTGATCACTTAAATGAATCGGTATATTGAAAACTGATTCCTAATTAAACTGGTCACCTGAAAGTGGTACGCGATAAATTTAGTTACTCGAACAGAAAAAAGTTCGACTCTAATTTATGTTCACCAAAAAAACTTGCCTAATTAGTAAGGGATTAAATTAATTTTCGCATTTTCTAAACTGGCGAACTTTTGATATTTTCGATTCGATTGCGCAAAAGTGGTAATTTAAAAGTGAACGTCAATAAATATTAATGACGAAATAAAAGTCAGCCTTTTAATTTCAATTTAAATTTATAAATGGCATTTAAAGGGCAATCGATTTTTAGGGGAAATTTCAATACATTTCACTTTAGTAAATGTATGGGAATTCGAAATTAGCGGAATTAGATAAACAAAAAACTAAGGGTTATGACTTTAACCTTATTGTGTAACGGCGGCACTTTTACTTAAATGACATTTTAATCCCCTTCCCTTGAGACTATAAACATTTGCGAAACGGTTGTACATTACGTTTTGTCCTTTAGTACTAATTGATTTATAAAGTTGAAAGTTTTTCACGAGAGAACCGAGGAGAAGAGGTAATTGCGAACAAAGAACATTTTACAACGGGTTGTATTGAGACTGGATTTTTCTTCGTTGCGGGGGCTTCATTGATTTTCTTTCATATTTTCAAACAATCATCCCGAATTTAATTAAAACGTGATTAAATTAAAGCAATACTTTCCAATTAGTAACATTAAAACGGTTGGAATCCCCACTGATGGGAAACGTAAACATTTTTTTAAACCGATACCTTTGTGAAGTTCTCTTAATCAGCAAAGTTCAAGCTTTAAAAGGCATCAAACTTTCAATGAAAATGAGCTCCATTTGATGTGAAATTTGCACGAAAAAAAACGTCCTAATGTGTCGCGTGATACCTATGAATTTGTTCGTTTCAAAACAAATGGACATTGCGAGTTTTCGCATATTTTATACGTACCAGTCCCTTTATTAAGCGAACCCTTCATCCATTAGCAAATGTTCGACACTGATGTATGCAAACGCATGAAAATCCACTCTGAGCACATTAATATTGCATGCAGCTTCATGTCTCTCTGCTCAAGATGAATCCTCCGGTTCTCTTGTAAGCACCGACGACGGTGGCATATTTACAAATTTGCGACAAACCACATTTAAGAATATAAGATGGTGCTGAATCCAGGGAAACAGAATGAAGTGATATTCTCGACAAATTGATGAGAAGAACGGTTTTAAATAAGAATTACAGAAAAACTCACTAAATAATACGTCATTCTCCCTATCTTCGTGACAGGTAGCATTTATACAGGGTAAAAATTTTGCTTGAAACACTGAATATCTCCAGAACAGCATTTTTTTAAGAAATGGTATCCAAAATTATAAAAATGTTACTACCACTCTACGTACGTTAAATTTGTAGCCAGTGCCGTGCTTCTGCATGATCAAGGACGGCATATTTTAATGGCCACTCTAGTTTTCATCACTCGTAATAAAGAGTAATGTTTTTAATTAACAAACCATGGCAACGGTAGTAAGTCTCTTTGGGGATTTTTCTTTGGGCATGGATTCTAAGGGAACGGTTTTTTTTTGGCATTATACTCCTCTGGTGGTAATTTTTCTGTGGGCAAATATTCCGGATCGAATTCCGATTCTAAAATTATATTAAAAACTAATGTTTATTGACAGCTTTGAAGAGGACCCCCCGCGCATCCCTGAAATCGGGTGCGGATTACACGCACGTACAGTCGAATAGACAGATATATGGGCAGACAGATTTTAGTAAAGGGCTGTTCCGCTAAAACCCATTTAAAGTTTTCAGCACTTTTAACCCTTTTGAAAACGTGCACAGGAAAGAACGCGATCTGCAGGTTCCGAAATGTACGAGCATTGTCTCAAATTCGCGACTAGTCGAATTCTAGGGGAGGTGCTCTTCTGAAAGCGGACATTCTGGGGGTAACCTTTCCAGGGTCGAATTTACCTCGGCGATCAATCATCTCACATCGAGAATATTAATAGAGAAAGGGAATTTCCCAGAGGCGATTGAGCAAGAATATTTGAGTGTTAATCTTAGAGAGTGGGTTTCTGGCGTGAATGTTCAGGAGACGAATTTGTGGGCCAAGTTCTAACAAATTTCCCTCACGCATGAGACTATGACCTAATGTTGTGTATTCGAACTAGACTGGGTTGGTAAACTGGGTTTGTCACATAGCAAGGTGCGACTGATATAGCGCAAATAGCCTTAGATTGAGATTTTGGTGTTATTTCTCCAAAGCTAAATAATATATGGTGGTGCATTAGAAATGATACATAGCTATTTCTGTAAATTAAAATAATTTTCAAAAAACGCTTTGGCACGTCAAATTGATCATGGAAGGAAACAGTGTCTAAAATAAAACTTGCTCACTAATGTCTTTGTCTCGCATCGCTGACAGTGCAACCCTTAAAATCTTAAATGATGCATCGTTGGTAAGGTCGCCCATCTCTGAATTCGGATAGGTAATTTTTTTGGTTTAGTTGTTTCATTTCCAGCGCATTCGACGTTGCAGGTACAAGTTTTCTCTTTTTTATACCACTTGCAACTGCATAATTTTGACGCACGATCGCGTTAGCTTCTATATTACATAGTGATCGGCCCGACATCCTTCCAATGACATAAACAACAGCGCGCCCTCAACTTACTTTTAAAATATTTCGAAAATATCAAATCTAAAAAATTATAGTCTCACCAAATTCAGAGAAGGAAAGCTTTTCC